AGCAAGAGAACCCTGGAATTAGGCAAAGAGATCCTCAACTTAAAAAGTGCAAACTTTAGACTAATCAGAGGGAAACACTGGAGATCAAGGAGGACTTTTAGGGCTTTGATGCCTGAAAAAGCTTCCCAATCAATGGAGAGCTGTTCACTTATTAGTGTCTTCAAAGACGTAGAGAAAACAAGCAGTTCTTTCTCGAAAAATCTGTTACCTGAAGAGTTTGGACAGAACACAGATAGGAAAAACGCTCAAACTCGTTTCGTTTTGATCTCCCTCCATCAGCTCAACTTTTTGTAGCTGGCTGAATGAAAAAAAGCCTCTAATTGGATCAGTGTTTTTATCCTTATTGCATGTGAGGGGAATTTTAAAATAAGGAGGATTTTATTTGAGCACTGATACGTTGTGATTTGGACTAAATGAAAAGGGAGAAAAGTGAATGTTCAAGAAATTCTTTAGGTTTTCGACAGAAAATATATATATACCAAAGGAGTAATCATATTCATTTTTAAATAAATACATTTTAAAAATGCCATTTAAATCATCATTTTAAATGTATCTTCAATTATTCAATGGAATATTTAAACACTTAATTGTGAATTTTAACATTTAATGATATTTTGTATATTTAAATTATGTATTAGATTAAACTAAGATTTACTTCTAATTATTTCATGATATAATTTTTTGTCCCTTCCATCTATTTCAGATCACCCACTGCAAAAAAACTCTGAAAATGAGTGAAAATGTCTTAAAATAAGTGTATTTACCCTTAATTTGAGTAGGAAAATTAGATTATCTGCCAATTGAATGAGCATTTTTATTATTAAAATAAGATAATTATTATGCACTTGAAATACTGTATGAGACTGCAGTATTTTTTTCTTGTATTAAATGTAAAATGTCTTATTCCATTGGCAAAGTGATTCTCTTATCTGCAAAAGGAAATTCAAGAAAAAATGCACTTATTTTAAGAAAAATTGACTTACTTAGATTTAGATCATATTGCAGTGCATCTCCTAAACCCTCAATTTCTGTAAGTCGCTTTCCAGCACCCTAAGCTAACCAAGCTAGAAGTTGTTCATACTGTAGGAAACAAAACAGATCTGATATTTATTTGATCATCTCTGATGGAGGGTTTATTCTAGGAGGTGAATGTGTCTCTGTTTTTGCCTGAAACTCAATAAATTCTCAATCTGCTTCAGCAACAGTCAATGCAGTCTGGAAGTTAGAGGTCTAGTGCCCCTAGTGGCTTAAAGTTAAACAATTTTGCTTGCAATGGTGATGCTGGTGTAAACTTTTGCTTTATTTATTCTGGATGGAAACGTTAGCTGGATGCATAACATCTGTGCGACAGACATCCTTTAAAAGCAAATTCCTTTGAGTCAGTTTCAGCATTATGGTCTAAAAAACACAAACTCCCTGTTCGCTTTTTCCTTGGTCATCAGAAAAAGTTCACAGTGACTCTACTCAGTTTGTCTCCACCTTCATCCTCTCCTCCTTTCCCATTACTCGTGACTTCCTGCTGCTCTCTTGACTCTGTACTGTTTTGATTATGTGCGATTGCCTCAAATGCCTTCCTTCCCTTCTTCATCATGAAAGCTGTAATTTTGTCCCGCTCTTGTACTCTAGAAGCCCATTGCCGGGGCATTGCATGTCCAAACACTGACTGCTATTGTTGTTGTTCTTTTTTTCCTGCCAGTTGAAAATGCAGCTGGAAACATGGCATTCACTTTGAGGCAGCTATTATTATTCTCCTGAGAAGATGGACTCTTAATTTATTGTTATATAATCAACATTAATGCAGCCCATAACGTAGGACACACCCACACAATATAGGTATTAAAACATTTGTCTTGGTTGGTTGCTATCACTTTTATTCCCATTTCATGTTACCATAGCAATGTAATTCACTAAAACCATGCCCCAAGAATATCATAGGAATGAAAGTGGGGGGAAGATATAAAGACATAAATATACCATATTTTGGAGGCTTTGCTGCAGGGTCATACATGCACCTACAACAACAGTTTAAAGCTCTGTATGTAGATAAGTCCTTCATCTTCTTAAAATATAAGACGGTATATTCATACCTGCTATGGTTTTTCGAAAATTATTGTTCAAGCACCAAAAAGTTTAAGGAAAAAACCCAGATTTATAATGCAACATATTTTTTGGACTACAGAGCACACTTCACTAAACTGGAAACATACATATATAAGCTGCTGACATCTACTGAACTATCCAAAAATGCCTGAAGAACATTTGGACAGTACTTGCATTAGCGGTTCAGTTTACCTGGTGACGATAGTCACCAAAAGCTCCAACAATTCCAGTCGGCATCAGGGGTGGTCAAGCAAGTCACCAGGTGTGGCAACGGCAGATGTCAGCAGGTATGTCGAAATAAATCTTCACCAGGTTTTACGCTCTTACCTGATGTGAGCTAAACCTAACTAACCCCATGAAACCTTTGGTGTCAACTACAAACCAAGTGACAGGCACCTCCAAAATTTCATGAGGAATTTTCTATTTTTTATTTATTTTCTTTTTATTATAGAGTCAGGGGAAATTTTTAAATCAGTACTTACTTACTCTCATTGGTTATCCATGGAGATGTCTCCTTTTTTTTTTTATCCATGGCCTCCCAGTTAAATATGGATCAAATATGACTTCCAGTTTTCAAAGCTTTCAGCTAGGAATGGGTTGGAAGTTGTAAACTGCTTTGTTTCTATTAAGGTGAATTCTGTTTTGTTTTCTCCTTTCTTTATATGTTTAAGTCACAAACCATTATTGTAGTAATTTTACTATTAGGTAATCAGATTAAAACAGTCACCTTTCACAGATTGTGTGGCTGATTGTCTAAGTTTATTTAATGAGTTGTTTAAATACATGGAGAGTATTTTAGTTCCTTTCAAAGAAGATGAAAAAAAGGATACATTTTTAGCTTTCTGGTTACATTTACAGTAATTAAACTGAAGCTGGATATGTGGTTATGATCACCATAAACAAAAAAGTGCAATTTTGGATTTTTTACATTAAAAAGCATTGTTATATTTTGGTAAGAAAGAACGCCTCTTTATTTTTCATGGCCAAATACTCTGATGCTGTTTTTGGTGCAAAAATATCCATCCATCCGTCACGCCTATCCCAAGCAGGGTCACGAGGGGTGCTGGTGCCTATCTCCAGCTGTCAGTTGAGAGGCAGGTCAACCCTGGACAGGTCACCAGTCCATCACAGGGCAACACAGAGACAAATAACCATTCACATACACAATCACCCCTAAGGCCAATTAACCTAACAGTCATGTTTTTGGACTGTAGGAAGAAGCTGGAGTACGCAGGGAGAACCCACACATGCTCAGGGAGAAAGACCCTAGGCAGGGAATTGAACCCGGAACCTTCTTACTGCAAGGCAGCAGTGGTACCCGCTTCACTACCGAGCAGCCTGTGCAAAATCGTAGTAAAAAAAAAAAAAAAAAAAAACTGAAAGCAAAGTTTAAAAAAGTTGAAAGTATAAAAACAAAATATATTTTTTTATATAATTTTATTTTTTTTAATCAACTGAAAATTTGGAAAAGATTTTAATCAAAAAAGGATTATAAGAGCAACTTTGCTGTTTTGTCACATTTTGTAAAAAATTTTTATATATATATATATATTTATATATATATATATATATATGTGTGTATATATATATGCAGTAAACCTTTCACACTGCAAAAAATCTGAATCTAGATAAGTCATTTTTTCTTAAAATAAGTGCATTTGTTTTTTAATAGAGGAGGTAAAAGAGACATTTTGCCAATGGAACAAGATAATTTACACTTAAAATAAGAAAACACAATTGCATTGTCTTATTTCAAGTGCATATTATCTAATTATCTTATTTTAAGAGTAAAATTACTCATTCCATTGGCAAACTATCTTATTTACCTGCTCAAATTAAGAGTGAATACACTCAATTTAAGAAATTTTTACTTATTTCTAGATTGTTTGCAGTGCATGTTCTATGACATTCAGACGTTATAAGCTCAGATGGATAACGCACAGCAACTTTGTTCCTTTCAACCTTTGCTGATGGAAGTCCTGCTCTCTCTCGCCGTCTTAAAGTGCAGCACGTGTTTCAAACATCACTGAAAATACCTCCTAAGTAAATAGCTTCTTTTAATCTGCTCTTTCTCTGGTTTTATTCAAATCATTTCACTGACACCAACGCCTAATGTTTCCTTATTCTCGCAGTATCAGCTTAAACTCCATACAGTGTTTAACGTAGTGACCTGGTAGGCTGTTGTTTGAATTCTTCTCTCTTGGACTTGAAGAACTGACTCTGAAGGATACGTATTCGTGCTGAAAATCACTTGTTTCCCATCAGTGTTTCACAGTACATCTCAGAATTTAAACAAATTGGTTTATTAAAACTGCAATTCCTTTAGCTTTTTTTTTATTAGTTGGAATTTTGTGTTTGAAAAAAAAAACTTCTTTAAAATCCTTATAACTTTATATTCAGTTTGGCAGATTACACATGCAATCAGCTCAGATCACCTTTGCAAATAATCATCATTGCCTTGTTAAAGTACATATTTTAAATAATAATGCATTTTCTACTGACAGCAAAAAGGCAAAGTTGTTATCATTTCAGCTGTTTTTTTTGTTTTGCATACAGTCATTTTTTCCTATTTCGTTATCACAACACTTGTCATTTATCTGATGTTTTCAGTGCCGTAAAACCTTATTTCTCATTATTTTTCACAAACTTTTTTATCAAAAGTGTTGTTTTTAAAACAACACTTTTTTATCACTGTGCTTCTGCAAACTCTGCTTTTCTCTGCTGCTTTTTAATGTCGTTTATTGCTTGGCAGCACAGCTAGAGAGTCATTTTACTGTATGTCTAACAGACAATTACCTGGAAGTTGTTTTTTCCCCCACGCTGTGCGACAGCGATTAGGGAAATCAGCTTGTTGAGTCCTGATTGCTGAAATGTATCTCCTCTTTCCGCTCTGTGTCCAGGAGCAGAGCCCCAGTAACGCCACACCCCTGGCCATGATGCAGGAGCCGCAGGAGGTGGTGGAGGAAACGGTCACCATAGAGGAGGACCCCGGCACCCCCACCTCCCACGTCTCGGTGGTCACCTCTGATGATGGAACCACGCGGCGCACTGAGACTAAGGTAACATCTCAGAGGTGGTATGGTGTTCAATAAAATTCAAATTGGAAACCAAAAAAAATGCCTCGAAAAAGTAAAAAAAGGCTTTTGCAGCAGTTGATGTTGCTTTTCGCCAGATTAATTCAAAGTGTCAGAATGGAAGTTCTCAAATACTCTGCTTGCAATCCCATATTTTCATTATTTGGGAGTCTAAATCCCATAATCCTGCCGCCCGAAGGGGCTGCCTCCCCCTGCTTTATTTCTTATGATTATGTTTCATTATAAACAGTCAGTTTTTTTTGTCATTCTCAGAGTTGTGTGCTTCTCAGAACCTCCTTTATTTACTTGTCCTCTACTGTGTTTTGTTGTTCTTCTGAAAGGATATGTCAACCAATGTGAAGGTGAGTGTAGTCTCACATACCGACGCGGCTTTTGTCAACCATGCCACAAATGTTTGCCCATACACACCCCAGCAGCCGCACACAGCACAGCCTGCATATTTTAAAGCTAACACAATTGACCATGTTTTAAATCACAGCTTGCTGCTTTCACCCCCCAACGTAATCCATCCTCAGTAATACTATCTCTTGTATGTTTTATTCCTCTTAGCTTGAAAAACCTTTGGGTCAGAAATGCAGCATCGTTTATTGACGATGGTTATAACTTTAAATAGAGGATTTTGAGGTCAGTAGATTTAAATTTAATTTAAAATGTATCGTTTTTTTTTTTTTTTCAATAAAACATCAGAGATATGTCAAATACACAAGTACTGAAAACAAGTTCAAGTTGTCCCGCATAATCTGTAACACATGCTGACTAATGTGTTAACAGTCTGCACACCACTTCAAGAGGTGTCAATAAATTACACCCTCATTAACCGAATGTGTTCCTGTTTTAAAATATGTTGTGAAATGTGGCAAACAAACAGGTGTTTATACAGCATGTATCTATTTATAAAAATAGAAAACAAAATTATTATTGGCAAGGTCATGTCCGTGCTTAAACTTCTGCATTAATTACTGCAAGAAAAATACTTTTTTTTTGGACAAATTCTCTTTATAAAAACCAACCAAGAATATGAAGAAGAAGTATCAAAGATCTATAGACATTTACATGAATGTCCGGTTTACTTCCACCACCAAACTAAGTCTGTTGCTTATTTCCGGTTGAAAAGTTCAAAGTTTTGTTACATTAGATATCAATGGCTATAAAATGGGCATATTCTTATTTATTGCTCATAAAAGAAGGTAGTTTATCAATACCACATCCTGCTACGTTATTAAACTGGAAGGATAATAAGACAAAATGGCCTAATGTTACAACCAGCAATAGCTATGAAGTCGGCTGTTTGCTGACATAAAGACACAGGGAAGGAGGCATTAATGCCAGAGGTTCGCAGGTCAAGGCTGACTGTAGGGTGGTTTCAACTCATCAGGACCATGGGTTACCTTTAAACTAAATTGAAAAGGAGGTGGATCTGGATCACTTAATAGCTGAAAGCGTGCTGTGCTGTTTTCACTGAATTTTATGTGGTGGACACTAGGTGGCTCTTATGGATTCTTTTCAACCCAATTCAGAGTTTCCAGCCGCAACTAAGACCACAAACCGTATTCATCTCCAACTCTTCCTTCCGCACACCACCAAGTTCTTATTAGAAAGATTAAAAAACTGTGGTCCCATATATCTGATTGGGAAACATATAAGTCCTGGTAATTTACTCGGACCAAATTCCCGAGTCAAAGAAGAGTCTGAGTGAATTACCTAGTCAGCTGTTTTCACTCTTAGCCCAGATATGGTGAAAAACATAAACCTAATATCACCAGCAGGTTGCAGTGATGCAAGGAATGTAGCTTTAACAGATAAAGTTAACAGTTGAAAATGACTTTTTCAAAAAGCTGGCTTTTAAGTTTAGTAATAACTTGAATATTAGTAACAGAACAGTAACAGTAACAGAATCCGGACAGCTCCTGACATTTGGCGTATGATTTCACTCACGCATGTTGCCAGCCTGTTTGTACGTACAACATGTAGCAGGAGTCAGGACTGTTGCTGGTCAATGCATTACAACAAACATTTGGCATAAACACAAAAATGCATACTTTACCCAGTAACATAAAGCCTCAAACCAGAGTGGTTCAGGTAAATTAACGCCTGAGTGCATCTGTTTGTCTGCAGATGAATCCATGTTTTGGCTAGATTATTATGTCAGAGCTCAGAACAGAAGGATCCAGTAATTTGAGCTGGAAAAAACAGATTTCTCAGAACGCTTTATTGACAACAGAATACAGAAAAGGATGGAAATAATTTGGCACTGATGGCTGGTCTGAAGGCTGGTTAACTAGAAGCTAATGTAGGTGGATCAGATAAGTGGGTAATGAGAACTGGGCGGAGCTACAGTAAGCAGGTATGTGAAATGAGTTATCAGACCAGGCATCAGTGCCAAGATCATGACAGCCTCCCAAATCAAACATCATGTGTAAACTGGTATACCCTGAACAACTAGAACAATTTCATCTTGGCCACCAGTTCATCAGAGCAATATCATATGGGGAGTGATTTGTCTACAGAGTGATACAGTAGGCATTCAGTGTTAGAGCAAACACTTTTATTATCTTAAAATTATCTTAAGAGAGACACAGGGGTCGGGACTGGAGCGCAGAATGGTTGCATCAAGGGTCGAGTCCCCTGTTAATGAGTTATGCACTAAACCCCTGTTATTCTCAGGGTGTCCACATATCGTTTATGTTTTCTTTCACTCTGTCACGGCTGTCAGAAAGCTGCCGCCTTTAAAAAATAAAAGCCTAATTTTCTGTTTTTCAGTGTTGTTTGCCAACACAGTGTGTTCATGAGTTGACTCTGTTTGTGAATAGCACAAATTGCAACACATCAAGAACCACTTCCTTTTTTACTTAAAAATAAAAGCCTGAGTCCACGATCTATGTTGGCCTTAAGTTGGACCTGTTTACGGTAAATATTGGATGTCAGCAGTACTGTCTTCCTTTGCTGGTTCTATTCTTAATAGTCTAGAACAGGCATCCCCAAACTCGGTCCTCAAGGCCCCCTCTCCTGCAGGTTTCAGAGGTTTCCTTGCTCCAGCACAGCTGATTTTAATTGAAAGCTGATTAACAGGCTTTTGGTCTACTGCAATCATTATAACCAGCTGTGCTGAAGCAGAGAAACCTCTAAAACCTGCAGGACAGGGGGCCTCGAGGACCGAGTTTGGGGATGCCTGGTCTGGAATGTCAGTCGCAGCCAAGGGTTTCAGAGACCAGTGGATTTTGTCTCTGCTTTATGCAAAAGACATGGCTCTATTGGCTTTCTCCAGCCAAGACCTACAGCATGTATTGCAGAGGATGAGCACCTCCAAGCCTGAGTTCACGTTGAAGGAGTGTTTGTGTCTTTAGTGAAAGAGATTAAACTTTTTTTGGATCTTGTTTGCAAAACAGAGAAGAATTGAGCAGGAAGTTGGTGGATCGATGCAGCTGCTGCCATAAGCTGGACGCTGCTTCAGGTTGTTTTGGTGAACAGAAAGTTGATCCAAAAGCCAAAGCTCTCAATTAACGGGACGATTTTCTCAGAAAACCCAGAATTCAAGCAGACAGGCCAGAGTATAATCACAACAAACTTTTATTAACTTCTCTGCACACTATGGCTCAACAGTTGGGGAAGATTAACTGGATCCTCTGTAGAGGTGGAAACTAAGGTTAGTGACTATGAAACTCATGACACACAAAGCTTGAATAATCTGACACCAATGGCTGGGAACAGGCAGCTTAAATAGAAGCAGGAATTGGTGGATCTGATAAGAGACAATAAGTGCTGGGCGGTTCTGAGCAGATGTGAGAAAAGAGCCAAATCCAGCTATCAGTGCCAAGATCGTGACAGATTTATATCCCTACGCTCACCTGTGGTCATGAAATTAGGATCATGACTGGAAGAATGATATCCTTGAAGATAGAGTGAGGAGCTCAGGCCTTTATTTTTAGAAGAGCTTCTCCTTAAAATAAGAGGAGTCAGCTGAGGTGGCATCGGATGCCCCCTGGACGCATTCATCAGGTGCACATCTGCACATTATTGGTCTCCTTCTTCATGTGGATTATTTTCTGATTTGACTTCGTTCTGCAAAGTCCGTTGTTGTAGGAGAAGGCTTTTCCCACATTTTGAGACACACTTCTTTATTTTGAAGGCTTTCATTTATGCATTCTGAATGCAGATGGCAGCATGGTTGTAGTAAAATAGTCCTATGTGCCACCAGATGAGTAGAAAGCACAGCGTGGAGCTCTAACTCCAGGGACTGTGAAGCTGTAATTAAAAAGCCAGCTCTAATCCCTCATAAGGGAGGACCCATTGCCCCCCAGTCTGTTTACTGTGAGGGGGATTGGCCACATTCACACTCTTTCTCACACTCACATGTTTTATGCACTGGAGGGAAGTAACTTGTTAGCAATAATGCACACCAGTGTGTGCAGCACAAAATCACACTAATCAAAGGCTTTGGTGAGAACCAAGGGGATGGAAGGACACAATTTAAAAGGGCCTGGCACCATGCTAAAATATAGAGTTGGCTGTTTTCTTGAAATGACTTTGCTTGGGTGAGCTTCTGGAAGCTACCATTTACTTGATGGCAAATGGATCCAAAACCAACAAATTACAATAAACTTTTAATAGGCTGTTTGCATTTAATCGTCTCTCTCTCATGTGTTGTTTTTACCCTCTCTCAGTTTTCGTCTCCCTTTTTATTTGTACGCAGCTGAGCGCATTTCTATCATTTGGATCAAGCTCAAACCATACCCTTTTGTGTAACATGCTTCTCTTTCTTGATAATTTTCCCCTACTTAGTTGCCAGAAGACAAAATGCCAAAGCTTTTCCCTTCATCTTGATTTGTGCCTAGTAAAGCCGCTGCTGTGGTTAACTTTTTTCTTAATTAGAATAATGTGAACCAAAAAAAAAGTCTTAGCTGACCAGTTCAGATGTGTTTAGATTCTTGTTCCTCTGAAAGATGTCATAAAAAAATCTATTCTGT